TAGGCGGAAGAAAATGGATGGATGGATGGATATTACATCAGCAATTATTTTTATTACCTTTTAAATTGATTTCTGGAGATTATCCAAGGTGCTTCATGACCCATAATTGGGTCCCAAGCCCAACTTTGGGAACCAAAGTGCAGCGGTTCCCAAAGTTTTCTGCTTTTGACCCACAAAACAGTAGCAGTGACCTGTGCCCCCAACTGTTTCTGGATGATAAACATTTGTATCAGGTCAACAAAACATGTGCATAGTAACAATATTTTTTTACTACATTTATACATTTTAAATACACTAACCTCACTCCTTTGTAACAACTAAGGCAAAAACGTAATTAATTCAAAAAGTCTTTTCAGGACCCCACCTTGATGTTTCGGGACCCCACTTTGGGTCCTGACCCCAACTTTGGGAAACACTGCTCTAAACTATGTCATATCAAATGACTTCTCTACCTCTCCTCACCACGGGTCAGGCCGATCATAGCGCACAGCTGATTTGCGCTGCAGGGCGCCACCTGAGCTGAGGATGAAGAGAAGAGATCAGAAAAATTAGTCCCAATAACCCCGGGCGGGCAGCTGAAACAAACAGTGGCGCTTATTAAAAACTAAAAATTCACAAAACAAGAAATGCCTTGTCCCTATTAGTGCTGCATAAATTAAATCTCTGTTTGTCTCTGGCATCCAGCAGAGAGAAGCACAGTGCAGCGAGCGGCTTCAAACAGGAAACTTCTCCCATAAAGCTCAGCCTGACAACAAATCAGCTGTTTACCAAAGAAGAGGAATTTGAAAAGTCTTCCAGCTACATCTAACAGAGATGTGCTGTGCTCCAGCTCGTCATTTCACTGTGGAACATCACCTGTCAGTCAACAGGGGCACAACAAGTGGGGGTGGCCACGGGGGGCTGTGACCCACCAGTTTTAACCTCTTGAATCCCAAGCTTTGTGCTTATTTAAATATTTCCCAGTTATATAAGATTAGTAGAACATTATAAACATAAAAGTTTTTTGAAAAACTAAGAATTAAAAATATGAATATATATTTTACTTAAAATAAAAAAACTTAAACAGTTCATCTGAAAAAAAGACAACTAGTATAAAATTATTGTCCTCATTATCAGGATGAAGCTTTTCATGACGTTAGAGGCATTAAATAAATCAATATTTTAAGCTATTATAAGTGGACTTCTGTTTTGAAATTGTAGATGTTTCTCTTCCCATCAGGGAGGCTTTGTCAGTTGAAAATATTTGGAGTGGGAGCTTTAGAGCTTCATGATGGTATAGCTTAGAACACAGAATAGAAATCTGRCCCCAAACTGGACCGTGATGCTTTGCGTTGGGCAAAGATGGCGGTATCCACGAAATACTCCATTGCAGGATGGGGGAAATTGGTCTTGGTGGAGGTTTGCACTCTCCAAGTGCTTCTAGTCTATTTAGGCTTTTATTTCTAATTGTGTCAGTTTCGGTCCTCCACACTGCAGAACTTGGAAGAGAAAGTTCAGTGACTAAATCAGGTGTGTTGGAGCAGGGGAAAATGTAAAACATGTAGAGCTGCAGCCCTTGAGGACCATGATTGCCCACCCTTGGTCTAACTCAACCCAGAAAGGTCCCCGGGCTTGGATTTGATCCAGCGACCTTTGTGCTGAGAGGCATCAGTACTATCAATTGAACCACAATGCCACCTCTCTTACTAATAATGTAAAAAGTAAACTATGACATATTTTTATTTCTTTATTTATTTAGTTGGTACATGTAAATAATTTTTAGCTTTAGTCTCAAAACAATTATACAAATATAATTGAATGCGTAAAATGATATATTTCTATATCAGCGTTTTAGTTTTAGCATTTGTGTAGTGAGGGCTCCCCCTGGTTTACTTTGTGTTACTGTTTTGGCTCTGAGGGGTTTTTGTACAGGTCTGCAGATGGTTTGTGTCACTGTGGASTCTGGCACAGAAATACACAGCAGAGTCCTCAGGCTGCATGCTCTGTCCATTCAGAGTCACTGTTTTACTGGAAGTGTCCAAATCAATACTGAATTTATTCTTCAGAGAATCTTTGTAGTATGAAGCTCCAGTGTATTTCATCCCGATCCACTCCAGTCCTTTCCCTGCAGGCTGTCTGATAAAAGCTGTGTGATAGCTGCTCAGAGAATAAGAGACCTGACAGCTGATGGTCAGACGTTGACCTGGCTGCACCGTCACAGAGGCTGGCTGAGTCAGCTSTTCACACTTCACACCTGAGGACAAGAACATGCTGACTGTAAAGTTAGAATAATAACTGATTGGTCTGTGTGATGTGATCAAACTGTCAACCTTGAGTATTTCCCAGAGCAAAGTTCATGTGCTGTTGGAACTCACTGTAGGACGCATGTAGAGGTAACTTCAAGCAGTTAATGCAGGTGTTTTCAACAGGAAGTTTGGCAACTGCTCCCGACTCGTTCCTTTCATCCAAAAATTCAACAGAGGGTTGTGGAGAGAAACCAATTGGTGGGATGGTGTTTGCTCCTGTAGCAAATGCAAGAATTGTGCCCAACTTCTAGTGCCTTCATCTTCTAAACAAACAAACAAGCAAAGAAAACATGAATCAGTTGTAATGTGTGTGTGTGTGTGTGTGTGTGTGTGTGTAAGTTGGGCACAATTCTTGCATTTGCCACAGGAGCAAACACCATCCCACCAATTGGTTTCTCTCCACAACCCTCTGTTGAATTTTTGGATGAAAGGAACGAGTCGGGAGCAGTTGCCAAACTTCCTGTTGCAAACACCTGCATTAACTACTTAAAGTTGCCTCAACATGCATCCTACAGTGAGTTCCAACAGCACATGGACTTTGCTCTGGGAAATAATCAAGGGTTTGGCATGCCTTAACCTTTCCATTTTGAATAATAGACTGTTGTAACATCACACAGAGCAACTCTGACAGATTTTCATCTACAAATTGTTGAATGCTCTATAAGTTCCTTTGTGTTTATTTTCAGTTTTTGTTTTAAATAATAGTTCAGCTACTTTAGGGATTTTTAGGCTGTTTCTTTTTAAGAATTTTCATAGTATTTCAAGCAGATTTTTGTATTTTTCAAATGAGTTCAAGGGTTTGGGCAACTTTTGCTTGATATATATA